TTAGGTGGCTGTGAATAATGAGAGTGTGAAAGGTGTAAGGAGGAGGAATGATTGTACATTTATTCAACTCTAACTACAGAATTCAACAGGAGAAATTATTATGGTTTGCGAAATTATTTGTTGTTCTTACCCTTCCCAAGACATCAACAGGTAGCTTGGAGTTTAAGAGAACGGGTTTCACTTTATCACCGGACAATAATCCATTCATTGGATTCAGGCTATCAAAGATGGCATCATACTTGGCCTTATCTTCTATCTGGTTATAAAGACATTAAGACGCTATCCTTAATTTATAATGTTTATAATTAATAGTGTATGCAAAAATTCAGAAAGAACATTTTATTTAAAAAATAGTACAGTCACCCTTTTTAGGAAATCTAGTTAAGTTTGACAAACAAAAGCAGCTTCAATAGAATTAGAGGAAATGAAAATAGGACAGGAAGGGAAGAAACCTGTTCTTAGTTCTTTTGCTTGAAATTTGGTATTAGTACTTTGAAATAATATAAATGTGAACATCAAATAGTCCAAATACTTTAAGTCCTATTTGTTTAAGAGATTTCATTGTTTCTAAAGCAAACTATAGGTAAATCATAAATATTTTCCCCTAAAATATTCACTTATGGGGCTTACAAACTAAAAAAAACCTGATTAATGTGCATATATGTATTTTTTTCCTTTTTCAGGAAGCCACAGTATAAATTATGTCTATCCAATTATAATTCTTAACCTCGGATTGTGGGTCAGACATTCTTCTCTCTTTCCCCCAGTGGCCAACATTCCACATATGAAAGGCAGGGAATGGTCTCAATGAGCTATTTTGGATTTTTTTAAAATTATAAATGAATGCATATCTAAAGAATGTGTAAAATACACAGAAATCATTGCCTTGCTCCTACTTATTTCCACTGTAGTAGGGTTGCACAGATTTTATGCCAGATTTGGAAATAAGTAGAATCTATAATGTGGTGCTATAACAAACTTCCATCTCCTAAAAGCAGGGAGTCAATTCCAATAGATTATTCCATTTCCTACCTCTTAGTTTTCAGTGTTCTCTTTTCCATCCATCAACACACCATCATTACTAGGCATGTTCAAAGAGCTAAACACTTCAGTCTCCGGAACATAGCAGAGATTCCCTTTTTTTCTGAATCCTTGCTTTGGTTCCCTCTTTTGTGGCTTTTAACACTGAAGTTTAATGTCAGAATTATTAATAAGCACTATGCTTTAGAAATATGCTGAAATAAATACTGCTTTTGGGAGATTCAGTCACATATGACATAAGGCAACAGAAGGGAAAAAGAAAAAAGAAAGAAGAAAGGAGGTTATATGCAAGAAATCTACTGCAATTCTGCTATCAGGAAGAGATTGTGTCACAGAAAAGACAGAAGCCTGAAGTTGTATTTAAAGAGAAATGACATACTTGGGGCCTAGAGGTGATTTGGAATTAGTTTGTATCAGAAGGAGAAAAAGCAGAGTTATGAAGATATCAATGAATCTTTCAAAAGGTAAGATCTATAGGTAGTCCTCGACATACGACCACAATTGAGCCCAAAATTTCTGTTGCCATGTGAAACATTTGTTAAGTGAATTTTGCTACATTTGATTGACTTTTATGCCACAGTTGTTAAGTGAATCATTGCAGGTGTTGAGTTATAATACAGTTACTTTGACTTTGCTTGTGAGAAAGTTGCAAAGAGGAGTACATGATTCCAGGACACTGCAACCATCATAAATATGACTCAGATATCAAGTGACCGAATTTTGAACACATGATCATGGGGTAATACTGCAATGGTCATAAGTGTGAAAAACAATTATAAGTCACTGTTTTCAGTGCCATTGTAACTTCAAATGATTACTAAATGAACTGTTGTAAGTTGAGGACTACCTGTACAAAGTTGGGAGAAGAAAATGGTAATATATTAAGATACTGAGATATGAATGCAGACATCCATAATGACAGGGCCATTAAAGTACTTGGATAATAATTATAAGGACCCTATGATGGAAATAAGCAGGAAGAAAGATAGTGCAGGATTTTTTGGAGGATGTCTATGAATATAGGGACAAGAAAGCTAATTATTTTGGCAATGGAATAGTGGCCAGAAGTCATAATCAAGGCCAGAAACTAAGGAGGGGTCTCCAACCCTGGCAACTTTAAGACTTGTGGACTTCAACTCCCAGAGATCCTCAACCAGAGGAACTCCACAAGTCTTAAAGTTGCCATGGTTGGAGATCCCTGAACTAAGGGGTTAAACAACTTAGTTTTTATTTAAGAAAGCTGTATATCGTTCATAGGCTTTCATATATGCTCAGGAACTAAGCAACACCCCTCACACTTCCAAGTATCCAATATACAGTGGGGCAAAAAAGTATTTAGTCAGCCACCAATTGTGCAAGTTCTCCCACTTAAAAAGATGAGAGAGGCCT